GCTCCTTCACCTTCCACCTCAACGGACAGCTAAAAGTAGCTTACTAATATCTATTTATAAGAGGTAATCTTAAAAGTATCAGTCCTGATGCCATTTTTGTCCTACGTTTCTTATATCTGAATGTAAGATTGAAAGACTTTTACATTTAATTATTTTCCAAAAAATTTTATTCTATTCAATATTTTTAATTATTTGATTAAATTTGTGACATTTTGTCTCTCATTGGACTTAGAGGAGTAGAACTGAAAACTTGTTAATTGAAAAAGAGGCCACTGGCTACATTTCAATGTCATAAATTAATGACTGACCTGAAATGTGTGGACGTTTTTGGTGGCAAGTGAGAGAAAATATTCAATATGCTGAATAGATGTCAGTGTCATCATTGGAAGTAAACTTTGTGTAATTTCCAGAATATTTTAATGTTTTTGTAACATGCAAATCACTTTTTCCTACTTTTTGCCCTGACAATGCAACATTTTCAGCCACTTAGTGTTGATTTTTATTCTTTCCGTAGAAAGTACCCCCAGTTCAGGGTGGAGCTAAAGCTGCCAATAACTGTATTCTTCATCATAGAAAGTACTCATAGTGTCAGTGGAAAGGTCGCCTTTTTCCTGGACAAACGTAATGGAACATTTTCATAATGTGCTCCCATCCAGACACTTGTTAAAGTAATTTCTTCAATGACAACAATGCTTTTAATTTCACTGTTATCATAAACTATTGTTCTTTTTCATAGAAAGCAATCTTGGGTCAGTGAATGGGAAAAAGTCTGGAAATATAAATACCTCTTTATTCTGGAAAATACTTTCACCAAATTCCATATACCTTTACGCCCACCTCATATTACAAACCACACTAAAAAAATTATACGACCTATTCTGTTTTTAAGTGAATCTGGATGACATTTGTTGATTTCAGCTCCATTAATAAAGTGAATTGAACTAAAGGGGCTACAGGTGTTTGACTGCATCCATTTGAATTCAGTGCAACTAATTAAGAGGTCAAAGCAATGCGCTGAGAAGTATCCAGAAGATTTCACACCTGTCTTCAAAACTTCTTGAGTGCAGTGGTTTCTCTCTCTCTCGCGAGATTTGTTAACAAAATTAGCCTCTGCGGTTTTTTAAACGTTAGGTAACGTCCTCTGTTACGGTTGACGAAGTAGCCGAAAAGCTAGCTTCAAGATTTATTAAAGTAACCCAATCCACAACCGAATCCTCGGCGTATATCATCGGGATTTAAGTGGTGATAAGTGTAAATAACTGCTGGTTTACCCTCACTTTCTTCATTAGCGGTTATTAATGCTAACAGACCCTTCAAGAAAACAGCTTACTCTACTCAAACTGGTAGCAAAGACTTAAAAAACTAGACTTCTGGGATGACATGTATATAATACAAGTAGTAACTTTACCTCACTTTGTCGCCAAGTTCATAGGAATATAAATTAATCCGTAAAATATTTAAAACCAAACAATATTCATTCCAGGAAATATACGGGACCGGTTCCACTCTCCAGCACGTAGCCGTAGCCCTTCCCCCGTGCGGCAGACTCGTTTTGTTTGTCTCATTTCTCGGTTGTTTGCGCAGCTGACCGTGACAACAACCGAAAACAAAAACAGCCAGCAGATCGCCCAAAGAAACCAACACGGAATGTCTGGATGTACACGCCAAACACACCGTCGGTTTAGCAAACAAAACTTACCCAGTCTTATTGTGTCTGGACCTCCGCCACAGTCGAGGCTGGCTGCTGCCTGTCGCCCTCTGCGGAACGGAAGTAGCCTCCCGCGGCTGCAGTAGGCAGTGCTGCACCGGTCCTACCGTGGAATCGGCCCAGCCTACTGCACTGTTACAAGGTTCACATTGAGCACATCTAATTTAATTGGATTAATCCTCTTCAGGGACGTTAACATGTTGACCTCATGGCGCAATGTCAGCATTTCAGAAGGCGAAGTCAAGTTTAATGGTCTCAATGAATCAATGTCATGTTAATCTGGAAACATTCCAAATTCAAAAATACGTTATCAAAAATGGACATTAAATGTTGTAACTGGCATCATCCAAGTAGCTTCCAAGAGTCACTGGAGATGGAGATGCTGTGGGCAGGAAGGGTCTGCAGCAGCAGTCAGTCTTGAAGCGAATCTGAAGAGACCTCTGACTGAAGACTTTGACAGTCTTCTATCCTGAATGACACCATCGGTTGTATGAAACCTCCTTTTCAACTCCTCTGGGATTTGGGGTCATAGTTAATTTATAATTTGAGCTTTTCAGATGCTACTCAGCTGCTTCCTGTAGTAAAAACAATACACTGTTGCCATAGTAATACATCATGGCTACTGTCCAAAAGTAAGAGCAAAAATTCTTCCAATCTTAGATTTATGACAGTTTTAGTTGTGCCTCCTTTTATTAAACTGGGCTCAATAACTTTTTTTTTTCCAAAGGAACTTGTATCATGTTTTATAACTTAGATATACAGGTTTGTTCTGTATACAAATGTTCATTAACATGTTTAAGTTTCATTAAAATATTATGTTGTCAGTTTGTTTTTACAGTATATTTCTCTTTGCTTTTTTCATAACAAAACATATTTTTTGTGGCCCATGACTTCTATTGTTTTACCATTTTCAGAATTTTTTATCAGCAATTAATAAAGACAAGTTTATCATTTTAACGTGATATATTGTGATGTACCTATCCATTAATAATGGACATAAATGTCTCTTTTTCTAGGATGCATTTGAAGTATTTTTTAATTTGAATTGAATTTGAACGCAATAACAAAACTACATTCAACTTGTTTTGAATATAAAAAATTGTAAATAGAGATTCAAATATAAACATATATTCATATAATCATGTAATAAATTGCTAAAGTTCCTATAACATCTTAAATTGACACAGTTCTAAGACTTATTAGCCTTTATTGAGTAATTAAGATTGACTGTAGCTATTAGTTTCACTCAATCTGGGTCAATTTACCATTTAACTCACTGTAACCTCATTTAGTCCCTTTTCCTCCCAACTTACCGCCACTCTGAAAAGAGGTCATGTTGTACTCATGTTTCTTAACTGTGAACATAAACAGTCATAAAATGGTCAAATCCCAAAAATCGTAAATTATTTTTGAGGACTTTATTATTACACCATAATTTGGTTTTTATTCCAGTTTAAACAAAACTCATGAAATATAAGAGATTGGTTTGGCCCTCAAACCAAAATAACAAGGCCACCTCTTGTTGGTGTAAATTATTCTTTGGAATCATATATCTGGACGAAATGGCTGAAAAACGTATCTTGTTATAAGTGTTTTATATCAGTCGATATCAATAATTATTGATTAGTTTTTGGTTTAAATATCTGAAATACTTCTAAACTGGTGGTGTGACCTTTCCTGTTTTATCCACAGTTTCCTCTCCAAGCTGTTGTTTTTTTTTATTTTTAAGCAGTTATGAGGCTCAGTGGTGAAACCTTAAACTGCTTCTGCGCCAGTTAGTCAGCAGGCCGTTGCTAGGTAACCAAATAGTGAGTGAGTTGCTAGGTAACCAAAGAGTGACAGAGTTAGTAGATTCCACCAATCTTACCTTAGTTGCAGTTCTGAGTCAGAGTTCAGTAAATATTCTATATATTGAATATTAGATGTACTATGTATTGATTATTGTTAATGATTGTGGAATCGCACAGCAGGATATGAGTAGATTATAGAAAATTATTTTAAAGTTGTTGTAAACATCCCGAGTCAAACGGCTCCATTTTGTTTCAGAAAACATCTCTCTTTACCAGTATAAAAAGGATTTATGAGAATCCTTACTGGACTTTGTAACATTCCTAACAATGGGAAGGAGACAGTGGTTTGTAATTTATGCAGATTTGTAGTCATTTTTAATGATTCTAATGACATCAATTCAAACATGTTAACATACATGTGGCCTAATAAACTTTAAAGCTAGAGAAAATTTAATGACCAAACTAAAAGCCTGAAAAGCCACCAGCTCAACTGTGTAATTTTCACCCTGGTTCACATAAATGTTTGTAAATGTCTTCTTGAAACTTTGTAGACAAGAAGAGTTCTACTGAAAATATATACCTAATAGTTTCACTTTTTAAAACATTTCAAAATGTCCCCTTTAATGAAATATGACAGCCTATAGGAACTCAAAGGCTTAAAAAATAACAATGACCAAAAAAATTTAAGCTGTGGGTATTTTTTCTCCTTAGCCGCAGGAATAATAAAAAAATATGAACCACATAAGAACTGACCACATGTCAGCAAACCGATCTGAAAATTACTCATGTGGTGTAATTATAAGGTCATGCGATGGAAAAACAGCGAAGCGTGTCTCATCATCCTGAAAGTGTGGTTTTAGTTTCATATGATGAATCAGCAGAGTAACTTTCTGCTGTTGTTTTGTGCAAACTTCTCACAATTTCATTTCAGCCGCATTTGGTGCAAATTCATGAATTTCTAAAGTTTAAATTACACATTTAGATGAGTTAGTAATCTATTGTGTTACATTTTGTGTCGTACTGACATGGATACAATTATTCCAGTATAATCTGGATTTAGTTACTCTAGAGGCAGAAATAGTTTAATCTGACTTTTATCAGATTAAACAGCATAATATTTAAATCTGTGGGAGAAATCCTGTCGTTCTGATATAATTCTGATTTTAAAAATAATTTTTGTAACCTCTTTGTAATTTCTTGGACGGCTGCGTTTTGCTTTTGAGTTGAAGATGTGCTGATCTTACTTGAGAATAATTTTCTACCCTCTTCAGCTGAGTTTATCTTCAGTCCTGTAAATCCTCACAACAGTAAAGGCTTTCCCGATATGGATCGCTGCCAAAACACAAAGATCCACTTTATTCCCCGAGTCTTTTATGGAGATCCATTCATGAGTTCCTGAGGCGATCGGACAGATAAGATCACGTCTCCTTGACGTTGGTCGTAAAATAATCATCCGTGTGTGTTTGAGTGTAAATGTTTAAGCACTTAAAAAAAAAAACTCATTTTTTCTCACGAGCCAACCACGGAGTGTTTTATTGGGTGCTTCAGATATACAAGTGCACGACAAACCACTCTGCACATGGCAGAGGTGGCGGGTAGCCAGTAAATATACAAGTCCTGCCTCTTTCACAGGCAGACCCAAACCTTTAGTGGTCTGCCTCAAAAGCCTTTGAAAAAATACATACAGTACAAACAAAATCAGAAGAGGTTAAAGGCAAGAAGAATCGACTGGGGCTAAACTTCTTCCATGCAGTTAACGTCACTGATGACAATTACAAAAAAAATCTCCAAAAAACGAGCAAAGAAATTAAAATTCAAAGCATACTCTGCAGTTTTGTTCCAGGTGCCACTAAGAAAAATGAGAATACATACTGTATAGTCAGAGGACAATGCAAGTGATAATAATGATATTGTTTTTTTCTCCAATACAATACTTCCAACATTCAGATATTGGAAAATAAAAATCCCAATCTACTCTTTGTATAAAAAAGAAGCTTTCAAGTCAACAAGGAACAAAGAACATTTTTTTTGTTTAAAATTTTCTCGTTTTTTGCACAGAAAAGGTAGATAAAATGGGGAGGAAGAGGAGGAGGGCGGTAACAGGAGGGCAGGTTCACCGTTGCACTTAGTGAGTGTGCTTTGACGTACGAAGGATGAGAGGTAGAGAGAGGTTCAGAGATGAGGAGGGAGGACGGGGCGCCGCAGTTGCTGCAGCAGCAGCGGCGACGGCTCTATGTAGCGTATCTCTTCGTCCATTGTTTAGCTATTCTGTCATGCTCCGTTCTGTTGGTCAGGTACTGTGTGGCGATGCTTCCCACCAGGGGGTCGGCTGAAAGGAGACAGAAAAACACCAAATTAACTCGTTTCTATTAAACCAAAGCAGCAAAAAAAATAAGAAAACTTGAACTAATCATATTTTATAAGGAGTTTATATGACAAACCAACACAGATGGTGCATCATTTTGAAGCAGAAGGAAAATTATACAGAGCATTTTAAAAATTAAATTAAAAAAGTAAAAAGTAGTGTCCTTAAAACTGAAATGATTAATCAGATTAATCACAATTAGTCGTGATTAAACTAATACACCCCAATTTAAATAACTAACGTATAAGTTATAAGCCAATATTTATATCCCTTGCACAGATTATAAACTCATTGAGCCACTAAGAGTTGGGTTGAAATGATTAATCAGATTAATCACAATTAATCAACAACTGAAATAATCGTCAACTAATTTAGTAATCGATAATTTAGACTCAATATAGAGCAAAATAGAACAAAACCATACAAAAATATATGCATTTTCCATTTAAGATAAAAAACCCACCTTTGTCTGAAAATATGTTCTACTCAGAACTCTTTAATTGATTAAGCTTCAGGATAATTGATTAATAAAATAATCAGTTGCAGCTCTATTAACGGTATGCTTAAAGTCTACTTTTTAATAAACATATGCATCCCAATTTAATCCGAAGTAGTATTAAATTAATATACTTTCCAGTATAGTATAAGTACGTGGTGCGCAGTATTCTGGCTAAACTTATTAGTATTCTAGTTTTTGCAAAAGGAAAATTTGAAGTTGAAGGAAATGTATCATTTTTTTTAATGACCACAATAAAAAAAAAGTAAAATAGGGTCCTTAGGGCTGAAATTATTGTTATTAATCAACTAAAATAATGATTAATCAGCTGATTAATCATTAACTGGAGTATTCAGACCAAAAAAAGAAAGTTTGCAAACATAGCAATGCAGTCAGAGCAGTAATTCAGCCAAAAACTACACAAAAAATATAAACATTTTGCACTTAAGATAAAAAAATTTCCTTTTTCTGTAAATGTATTCTACTCATAACTCTTCAAGCGGCGTAGTTTTAGCTAAAGAAATATTATTACATTTTAGGCAATAAAATCTTGTTTAAAAAAGTAATTGAATTATTTGCATCCTTCAATGTATTAATAAAAAAGTTAAATGTTTAAAAATAAAATCTTAAACTTGTTGCCGATTGAAACAATAGATCACTAAAATGATTATTTGTTGTAACCCAAAAGTCAGTTGATAAGGTTGTTAAATGTTTTTGGTCCAGCTTCGTCCTCATGAAGCTTCAGATGTTTCCACTGAGAGGAGAAAGTAAAACCCAACTGTTCTGATTTGTCAGATGGAAATAATTGGAGAGAAAACCAGCAGCAGCTCACTGGGAGCATCGCTTCAATCGCAGCTGGTTCCTGTACCGATTATTTATTCAAGCAGGACTGCCAGTAGCAATTTCTTCCATAAAGTGTTTTACAAAAACATCTTCTTACTGCATTACTGGTGAATATATCTACGGATATATGGTGGCTCGTTAGGGTCAGATAGAAAAATAATGGAGAACATTTATGCCAAAAACTAGAAAAACTTTGAGCTTGAAAAATCTAAAATTTTCTATAAAAAAAAAAAAAAAAATAAAATATTTTGAGATTAATCTCAGAAATTTTCTATAAAAAAAAACATGAAAATTTCTGAGTTTGAAAAATTTAAAATTTGCAAGAAAAAAAATCTAAATTTGAGATTAATCTCTGAAATTTTTTTAGGAAAAAATTGGGAAATTTCTGAGTTTGAAAATTTTTAAATTTACTGAAGAAAATTCAGATTAATCTCAAAACATGAAAATCTCCAAGTTTCAAAAGTAAAAATTTTTTCTTGAAAAGATATTTTAAGATTAGTCTCAGAAATTTTCTAAGAAAAAACTACAAATTTCAGATTTTGAAAGGTAAAAAATTAGCTAAAAAACATTATGAAATTTTGAAATTAATGTCAGAGTTTTCTAGAAATGTTGGAGTTTCAAAAGCCAAGATTTGTCTAGAAAAAACTCAGGTCTTCTGGTTCTGCTCTGCATCCAGAATCAGAACCAGACATGGAGAAGCAGCATTCAGCTTCTATTTGTTCCACAAATCTGGAACAAACTTCCAGAAAACTGAAAAGCACCTGAAACACAGAGTTCCTATAAATCAGGACTATGGTCCCAGCTGTTTAGAGTTGCTTTCGAAACATAATAAATGAAACACTGATGAACATATTTGATGTGTGATGTTGATTTTGATGATGTTTGACGTTTACTGGTTTCACAATTGGTGATACAAATAAACATGATTGATAAAGTACTTTCAGAGATTGGTTCTATTTAACACAACAGTAACATAAAGGACCCAGAGGTTACTACAAACCTGGTTTGACTGAAACAATGTGTTTCCATTTACCCTCAGCATGTTTCTCCCTGCCTAATAAGAATCTGCATCGGTTTCACAGAGTAATTGACGCCGTCGCAGCTGCAAATGAATAGGAATCATGACTGTAATGGGTTCGGACACCGCGACCCGACTTCATTAAGATGTAAATACAGCCTGGAGAAAAACATCCACCTGCATTCAGGCGCCTCTGCTAACCAAAACAAGAGCAACAGAAGCGCCGAGCTGCAGCTGCTGCAGTGAGGAAATGGACCAAAACAGATTCAGCAGAAACGAATCAGAATGATAATTATTTGGTTCATGTTTAGGAAGTTTCAAACCAGGCGACATCAAATCAAAATTAACCTGGAAATTGATTTAGCATGGTGAAATCAAGAAGACGTCCTCCAGGAGCAGCGCAGACGTTATGAATAAACGAGTTAATGAAACAAATAAAATGAGATTAAAGCCATTAATTTTTATTCCCGGTGCTTTTAAATTTAATCTTTTAGAAAACCACAACATTTTGCTTCAAGAAGAGGGTTTAGTAGCTTTTACCTAAGGCTCATCTGTACAGCAACAACAAGGTTCAAAGTGTTTTAAATGATAAGAAAACTTAAAAAAAACAAACATTACTGTGGCAGGATAAAAAGTAGTGATGAAAAGTTGTAACCCAGACCAGAATTAATCAATTTTCCATTTACTATTAATCAAAGGCAACACTAAACATGCTGGTTTTCAGCGTTCATTTAAATTAACTCAGTGTTTCAGCAGTTTTGCAGTTTTCTGGAAGTTGGTTCCAGATTAGAGAAGCGTAAAAACTGAGTTTTGCTTCTTTTAGTTGCTGTGTTCTGCAGTAATTCCCAGTGATTCCTGTTATATTTGCAGCAGTTTCAGAAAAACCCTTAGCACAGTGAATACTGTGGGGAAAAACAAAAGCCACGTTTACACAGTAGACCTTGATGATTAATTCAGTTTTCTTTGCGTGTTTGATCATATTACTAATTAAACCCGAGTGTAAAGACACTTCTGTGAGAACGGTTTACGACCCCAACGTGACCCGGATGCACAGAAGAACATGGACGTCACAAAGCAGCACAACGTTTACACAAGTAATGATGGATGGAGGCTTTATGAAGGGGTTGACCCAGAAAACCTGCAAGTCTGTCAACGTTGACATTTGTCTGAGTTAAAAAAATGTTTAAAGTTGAAAATATGACTAGGTAATTAATGCGTTATTGGAAGCCTAAACACCAACTATAAAGCCGTAAAACAAGCAAACATAAAAAATACAATTAAAATAAATAGTTTTGCAGTTGTTAGTCATTTCATCCTAATTAAAGTTCTTCATTCATGACTTGTCACTTTATTTGCTGAAATTGTTGGCGTAGTGACCATATTATGTTGCCGTGTATTAAAAAACCCTATAAATAAACAAACAATGATTAGCCTGATGGGGCACAAGCAAAGCCTGGAGGCCTGCCAGGCTTATAACACAATGATTTATGGATTTTAAAGTTTATTCAGCAATTGGAGCTGGCAGTATCGTCACAAGATCATAACAACGTGAAGGAAGCAAATTAAAAAGAAAGTAAAACTAATGGTGACAAAATTTTGTGGAGCATTGGCAGTAACGTCTGCAGAGAAACCAGTTTGGATTCCTGGAAGTACTGACAGGCTTCCTTCATAAATTCATAAACATAATTTTCAGCGGTTGTTTTACTGCGTCTGACTTCTAATGGTGCAGAATTATGACTTATAATTCACGTCAATCACATAAAAGTCGGATAAAATGCAACATAACCGTTCAGACTGCTGACGCTACGAAACAATCGGACCTGAATTAGAACCACATACGGATTTTTTTGAGTGCTGTGAGAAAGTTGGATATGGGTCGCATTTGGGCCAAAAAAGCGGATTTGGTTCGCATTTTCCTGCTGAATGAACGTAGCCCAAGTCCAAGCCAAACAGAGAAAACAATAAAACTGCTATTTTTACCCCAGTGGGCAAGATAATATTCGTTTTGATTCAACAGAGTTTTTTACACTGAAAATGTAGTTTTTTTTTTAGCAGAAATATTTAAATGACCTTGAAAGTTTGGATTCGTCACTAGTTTGTTTTGTGAAAGCAGTCTGAAAGATTGCATTGAAAGTGAATTAACTTCAACTTTAGCATCCAGAGGGTGGGGTTACCTGGGTTGCAGTCTGTGAGCAGGGAGCAGATGGACAGCAGCACCTTGGAGATGGTGAGGGCGGGGCTCCAGTTGTCCTTCAGGATGTCCAGACAGATCACTCCCTGACTGTTGATGTTGCAGTGATAGATCCTCGTGCGAAACGTTACCTGCAGACAAAAAACAGAAAAATAAATGCTGCTATGAAGAAAATATTTTTAAAAATCACTTATTATGCTTCTTTGAAGCATAATCAGGATAATCAGATCAGGATATTTTATGGCCTATACAAAACATGTTCGTTACACTTGCTGGCATGAAATCATTCCTCAATAATGAGAGCGTATGGGAGTAAAACTAGATGACCAAAAGTCCTGGAGTTCCACTGGGGTTGCTAGGTAACGGGGCAGAGCCTCACTGTGGTTGCTAGGTAACGGGCTGGGCCTCACTGGGGTTGCTAGGTAACGGGGCAGAGCTTGCTGATTTGTGACGTTACATTCTGAAGGTTTTTGAAACGATCAATTTCAAGAGACCAAAAATTATTAACTTTATTTCCAACAAAACATCTGGGTGTGTTTAAGGATTTTGGCTGTTTTTAGAAGCAGCCGAGACCCAAATGGAAATGGAAGAAACATGTAAAATATGAATTTCCATAATAACACATCATTCTGTTAAGCTAACATATCTACATTAGAAATAATACAAAGTTAAACAAATAAGACTGTGTACATCCCATTTCATTTGAGTTGTACTGTAGAAAAATGTTAATTTATTGCACTTAAAAACTAACGGTGATTCAATAAAAGGCAGAAATCACCTACAATTAAAGATTTTCCAGGTAAATAAAAACCTGATTTGTAGAAGGTGCATAAAACCAGCACCAAATAAAGACAATATGATAAAAATGTAATGAATTTTAGGCAATGCATTACAAAATAACTGTGCTCAGATTGTATCTTCAACTTAATAACAGCTGGCATAATAAAAATATTAGAATAGTTACAGCTTAATTTAAAGAAAGAAAAAATACATGTAAAACTTTTTCTTTTATTTAATAGTTTTTAAGGCAATTGCATTGTACTTTGTTTTGTATTTGTCGACAAAATTAGTAAGTCATTTTAATCTTGTTTCATAGAATCTTTGTTTGTTTGTAGGAAGACAAATTACTCAAACCAGTCCAGGGATAACGGATGGAAAAATGACCTTTTGGCTAATTCTGGCACATTTACATACATTTTCATTGTCCCTGTCAAATAAATTAATAAAATAACATTTTAAAATTTGTCTTTGTTGTGAAGTCATATTAAAAAGAGGTCATTTTATTTTTCTTCCATTGTGAAGTTCTGAAATAACAGGAGAAATAAATTAGTTTTAGAACAGCAATTAAATTGATCAATGAAATGTAAAACTTAGAAAAACACAATGGGCAGGAAATGCTAAGCAACATTTTGTGACATGTTCCTGGTAGTTTGTCAGGTTAAGGGCTTTGTTTTCATTGGCAGCAGTAATAAGTGAGACATTGGGGACGTCTTAAAGCTCTTCTCAGCGTCACATTACCGCTGACTTTCCAGCGTCAGTGCTGCTGTAAAGGTTGATTGAGAGCTCCACTGAGGGCCGTTTGCACCATTCGTCAATGTAGCCGACAAATTTACAGATCTTTAAACGACTGTATTTTATCAGGACTTAAATATGGGATTT